GTCTCTCTGGGGCAGATTTTGAGAAGGGAATAATTTACTCCTCTGAGTTTTGCAAAGACACAGGGAAAGAGAAGCTTTCTAGGATGGAGCAGTCAAGGGCGGAGGCGGCATGCTCTGCACTGTAGTGTAAAAGTTAGTTGCCTAGTGCCTGGGGCCTTAAAAGCTTGCAAGCTGCCATCTAAGGCACAACAGTTGGTCTATAACTGCCTGGAGCAACAGACGAAAAAGGAGAGTCAGGAATAGGAGGAGGATATGGAATGTGTGGCTAATTGCCTCCGTGAATAACTGCCTCCTTTGCCATGAGACCAGAAGAACTAGATGGTGCCCAGCTACCATCACTGAACATTGTGATCAAAGATTCTATAGAAGAATCCTGAACAAAAGGGAGAAAATGCAGAACAGAATTTCAAATTCTCATGGAATCCAAACTTTATGAAGCCATGGAGGCTAGATGAACTCCTGAAACTATTGCCCTGAGATAATCTTTAAACCTTAAACCAAAAATATCCCCAGAAGTCTTCTTAAAACCAAACAATAATTTAGCTTAACTAGTAAAGAATGTCTGCCTTGAGCACTGTGCTCTTTTAAGATCTATCTATGTGGATCAAATTGACAACAGCAACTCAGAAGATTAGATAGGAACCTTAGGGGGCAGTGAGTTTATGTTAATGGGGGAGGAACACTTCAGAAAATGAGGGCGAGAATGGTTGCACAACTCAAAGAATGTAATCAATGTCACTGAATTGTACATGCAGAAATGGTTGAATTGGTATATGTTTTGCTGTGTATATTGTCAACAACAACAACAAAATAAAATTTTTTTAAAAAGTCTGCATTTCTGGTGGGCAGAACTGGCACACTGAAGACTGTGGCCCTGGCAGGACCGGGGAAGGGCTTTGTGTCCCTCAAAGATGCTGAGGGCCTGCGTCAGGGGAGAGCAAACACAGCCAGGGCAGTCCATGTTGGAGGATGTAGGCTGGTCCCACAAAACGGAGGCTGTGAGGTGGGGCAGGGTAGCAATTAGCATGTTTTCAGGTGCAGGAGATGGAAAATCTGACTCCAAATGAAATTTATTCACTCACATAACTGCTTTAGATGAAGCTTGGTCTAGCAGATTAAGGGTGTCATCAGAGATCGGGTTTCTTACTAGGGGCTGGCTCTCTGGTTCCAAGATGGCTGCCCAAGCTTGGCAGGACTAGTGGCCATCCTGGGTCACCTGACCCAATCACTGTGCCAAGGGACTAGGATACACTGGTTGGCTCCAACTGAAGCCAAGGGCAGAGTTGGCTTCCCTATAAACCTTTGACTTTCCAGAAATTCAGGGCTGTTGGGAGAGGGGAAAGGGATCGTCAACACTGAAAAAACCACATCCCTAGCAGAGGGAGGGGCATGGCCTTGGGCTCATGGGGCCCAGATAGCCTGCATCCGGCCTCTAGCGCCTCCTCTCTGTAAGGTGGCACCTGCTGCTGTCCTCAACCTCCATGAGGCACCTCATTTCTGTCTGCCTTGGCTGGCCAGAGAGGGGCTGAGTCCAGCTGAGGGCAGTGCGTGGCATCTATCAGCAAAGGGTAGGGGGACATTGGGATGGTGCACTGAGTGAGCCTTGTCCTTGGGACCCCAGGACTGCATGCAACCAGGGATGCCATCAAGGACTGGACTTCCTCAGGTCTCCACAAGTGGGGGAAGGTGGCTCATGGATGCTGCCTGGGGTACAAGGCTGTCGCTAGTACAGTTATTATGCCCCTGTCTTCTGCAACCTGCTGGGTGTCCCATTGTTGTCAGAGCACCGCACCTGTCAAGCAGGGCATTGCACCCAGAAATCCACCAGGTCAGTACCCCTGGCCAGCCGGCTGGTGGGTGGGCCCTGGGGCCAGACCATGCAGGAATGTGCAGAATGTAGGGCAGGGCCTGGCTACTCCGCCAGGGCCTGCCTTGACCCTGCCTGCCTCCTCGGCAACCTCCAAGGCAACCTCCAGCCACCCACTCCACCCGGCCTGGAAGAAGAGGCCGTGAGAGCCCCCTAGGCCCTTGGTTTTCTCCACTGTAAAACAGGGCTAGGGGTTCCTCCCACCCAGAGAGAAGGTCATGTGAAAAGGGTAGGGATGGCCCCTGGGCCCACAGTGTCTGGCATCTGGAGGAGAGTCATGAATGCTGAGGAGTAGGTGGCATGCAGAGACCTCCAGGCAGAGGGGACAGTTCATGCAAAGTCCTGGGGTGGGAATGAGCCCGCTGTGTTCTGAAGGCCCTTGTGGCTGAAGTCTGGTGACAAGGGGGAACAGGAGGAAACAGGCGGGAAGTGCAGGCATGGCCAGAGTCTATAGGGCGCTGTCCAACCCCCCAATCTCACAGATCCACATGGCATCCAGTGCATTTGTTTCCCCGCGGGCCTGGACATTCAAGTGGCAAGGCCTGGCCGGCTTACTCACTGCTGTACCCCAGTGCCTGGCACAGTACCTGACACACAGTAGGTATGCCAGTAATGCCTGGTAAATGAACAAATGGACGAGTGAATGAGTCCTGAAGTGTATCCCCCTCTCTGGGCCTCAGTTTCACTACGTCTCAGACGCCTTCCTAGTGAGGGCACACATGTGCCCAGGTAGCCACCTGGAACACATGGCAGGAGCTGGGTTCTGACCACCATGCAGGGCTTCTGCCAGGCAGCACCCCTTCTCTCATCTCTTCCCATGGTTTTCTCTCCTCTTTCTCTTCTACTCTTGTTACTGTGAAAACCTTTCTGCTCAGGTGAGCAGCATGCTCCAGCCCCAGCCCTGGACCCGGCACCTGGTACCAGGACCCCAGCCTGCAGGCTGGGCAGGCAGCAGCCCAGGGGGGCAGAGAGGAGCCCCTACCCAGGCCCCTGGCTCCTGTGGTGACCGGGCACCCTCAGACCCTGTCTGACATTCTTCATGTGCAGAGACCCCAGCAGCCCCTCCCAGCTCAGCCCACTGGCCTCCATTCTCTCTCACCAGGAAGTGGCTTCCTCTGCTAAGGGTGTGGGGAGTGGGGCTCAGAGGAGGCGCGGGAGGCAGAGGCCGAGAGCTACTCTGTGCCCACAGACGGAGCGGGGAGTGGAGAGTGCCCAGGAGGCAGAATAAGGGCCAATGGGGAGGGGGTTGGGTGTGCTGGTGGGCAAGATCCCAGGCCCAGGGAGCACCCAAGCCAGAGCCGGGAGGCTGGTTCCCCTCCAAAGCCCTCCTCCTTGAGGGAGCATGCTAGGGCAGGTGCTTTCCAGCTGGAGCTACCTTGGTGGATGGATCCTGTGAAGACCAGTGCAGCAGGTGCAGTGCACGGTCCTTTGCTGATGATGGCTCCCGTCTTGAAGGGTTGTGCAGCTTGGGCCCTCTCTGAGCCTCAGCCTCCTCTTCTGCAGCAAGTGGGGCTGGCTGTTGAGGATGGTTTGGGAGCTGAGGCCAGCTCTGCAGCCTGTCTGGCATCTGGGGTGCTAGGTAAGTGGCAGCCCTTGGGGCTGGCTCTCTTGCTTTCAGCCTATCATGGGCAGGCAGAGCCTGGGGGCACCCACCTGAGGCCCTGCGGTGAAGCAAGTCCACAGTGATGTGGAGCTAACGTCTTCTGTGCCTGTCCCTGTCCCCAGATGCGCATTCAGATCCTGCACACACTAGCTGGCCACTGAGGCACGGCCCACTTAAGGTTGGCCTAGACCACGTGATTAGTCACCAACATTTAAAAATCAGGCTATTTCATAAAGACATCTGGATTTCTTTCACCTCTTGGATAAACTGGAAGCTCTGAGCACTTGGGTCACGCCTGCACGTGGGCATGGCTGGCTGGGGCTCACTACCTGGCCAGGGCACCGTGGGCTGACTGCCTGCTGGGCCTATAGGGGTCTAGGGGTAGTCCTGCTGAAGATGAGGGGCTGTGGTCTCCTTGCTGGCCTCCATGCCTCCAGCTTCACCCCAATGTCCCCACGTGGGACCTGTTAGAGCCCTGCCACTCACATCCCTCTTCTGCTCACTGCCCCCTGGCTCCCATGCTGACCAGACCCAGCAGGACCTGGCCACAGCCTTACTCCCCGCCCCTCGGATGCTTAGCTCGCTCCTGTCTCCCAGCCTTTGCATGGCCCCAGCACCCTTCCCGCAGATACCCACTGGGTCTCGACCTCATCCACTCCAGGGCGACCTCCATGGGGCTCCCCAGTGACCCTCGGACCACACCTGCCTTCCCTACTCACCTTCCCTGCTTTTTGTCCCTCTGATCCTGGCCACCATTCCCTGTAACTACACGTTTACTCATTCAGTGTCCCAGACAAAAACGTCAGCTCCAGAAAGGAGGATTGTCTGTCCTCTGTATACAGTACAGGTTTCCTGAGAGAGTCGGGGAGGGATGGGCTGAGGGACAGGCCCCCCTCCGCCTCCCTTCATTGACAATGCCTGGGAGTATAGTGCTCTATTAACTCCTGAGCTGCTGAGGTGGCAAGGCACTTGCCTTGTATTGGGGGTGCCAAGTGAAGGGATGGCAGAAGGGGGGACCCTCCTGAGGTGGCTCAGAGAAGGGGCCTGGGTCTCCACTGGCGGGCAGAGAGCTGGGGAGAAGGTAATCTCTGGGCCTCCGAGGACCCTCAGCCCCGGCAGGTGCAGCCCCACACGGAGGCCAACTCAAGCTGCCCACTGGGCTCTGCGAGACCCTGCCCAGTGGCAAGCCGACCTCGTCCTTATCTGACAGCCCCACCTACAGCTGGCGGGGCTTTTGCCTCAGTGTCTCCGTTTACGCAGATGTCGGGGGAACTTGCGGTCGTGGTGAGGTGGCAGCAATGGCAGCGACTGGTCCAAGAGACAACATCCCAACTCTCAAAGGCACTTCATGGGAGCCTGGCCCATAGCAGGTGTTCCGTGCACACCACTGAATGAGCTGTCAGGCTCTGGAGAAGACCCAAAGGCGAAGGCGGCGAAGGAGAGCCGGAAGTGCCCACGCACTGAGCAGTGTGGGGAGGGGTGGGCGGCCCTGGGGCTCCTCCAAACAGCGCCTCTGCCGCTCCCTCTCCCTGAGCGGGGGGCACTGGGCTCCTTCAGGGCTGGCCAGACCCCGTGCAGGCAGGCAGGGTCTGATTCTTTCCTTGCCCAGTAGCGGGCACAGCTGCTTCCACTTACCAGGCCTCAGGTTCCTCAGGTGTAAAATGGGGCCAGGACGCCCACCACAGGGTGCGGAGTGTCGATGTCAGGACACGTGGCAGGGCCCAGGTATACAGCAAGGCACAGTCCGGGTAGGCACAGGGCGGCAGGGACTCTTCATAAGCTCACCTGTATCTTGCTCCACCTCACCTGTGACCAGTCACCCATCCCAGTCATCTCAGCACCCGGGTCAGAGCCCCTGGGTCACCCAGGGCTGTGTGGCAGCCACCCTTCTGAGAGGTGTCCCTGTGTGGTGCTGTGGTTGTGCTGCCAGGGAGCGGACAGGGCCAGCCCTCCCCTTCTAGAAGGGCTCGCCTCCCTAAGTGACTGGACGCCCCTCCACCATCGTCCCTAAACAAGCCACTCTTTCTCCCAGAGGTCCTCGGGGCTCTGGTGCAGATGGACCCCATGGCCTTCCTAACGTCTCCCAATACCTCACACTGCACATCTGTGGCCTGAGTGTCCCTGCTAGCCGTGACAATCACTCCTGTCCACCTCACAACAGGCTCAGTGCTTGAGTCAAGGCCCCGGCCACCTGGCTCCTGGCCCTGCATCACCGGGAGGCCTTTGGAGACCCCAGAGGGGATAATGTAGCACCTGCAGGCCTGGTCATGCAGCCTCCCCACTCCCTCCGCCCAACACCTGCTGACTATGCAGTTTTGAGTCCCTCTCTGAGCTTCTCAGTCCCATCTCTTGCTGTCAGCATCCAATGAGCTGGAGTTTGCTTACCACCATGCCAGGCCTGTCGCCCCCCACCTCCCACCCCCGCTGCATTCCCCCCATATCCCCCTGAGGGGCCAGTAAAGAACTGAGGCTGCATGGTCCTCCTGCTGCCAGCCTGCTTGCTGGCTGCCAGCATTTATTTGTGCAGATGAGCCCTTACGCCAGCTCACAGAAGGGACTCAATGTCCGGGGACTTCCTGGACGGTAGGCAGGCTCACCCAGACCTGCCCGCCTGCCCCTTGCAGGCCTCAGACACAGTGTGTCTGGAGCAGGGGACCCCTGCCTCATCCCAGCACTGGGTAGTAGACTGTGAGGTGGAGGAGGGGACACTCTGACCCTCGCCAGCCCTCAAGGGTAGAGTAAGATCTGGAATCAAGAGGAGTTGGGATCCAGAGCCATGCTCAGCTTCACCTAGTGTAGACAGGGCAGCAGAGGTTGCAGAGGAGCTGGACACAGGGTCTCTGGCCTGCTCTGTGGGGCAGCTGCAGACACGAGATAACAGGCTGTAGGACTTCCACCAGTAGGGCAGGGCCTTGGGAAGAGCTCAGACCACTGAGCACAGCCATGGCTGTCCCCTTCGTGCTGTGCTTCATGACCCTTAGACAATTTTTATTGAGAATTTGCCCTCCCGCCCTCCTGCCAGCCACACTGCTCTTTGCAAGACGTGTTGGGTAACATTGAGCAAGTGGCTGCCCCTCTCTGGGCCTCAGTTTTCTCATCTCTGAAATGGGGGCCCCTGCGGCACCAGGTGCCCCAATAGCGAGCACAGCCAGCAGCTGCTCAGCCACTATCAAGCAAGACCGGCTCCTCCTGTCCGTTATTATCAAGACCCTGAGCGCTGCCTGTAACTCAGCTTCTGCCTTAAATCAGCCATAACTAGCCAAATCAGTTTACTAGCCTCAAAAGTGTCCTAAAGTAACCTAAGTCTTATTAAGACCTAATATTAAAATCGCCACCGAGGGCAGGACTTATCTGCCATTTTCTGTAAATAATGAAGGAAAAAAATGCAATTTGTCTTACTGCACCTGCGTGCCATGATAACCTCTGTAGTCCATGATGTTTGTACGTACTTCCTCGGGACAGACGGTATAGAAGTTTCTGCCTCCCTTTGTTCGAGGAGCTTGATTTAAGGTATACGCCTCCTTGCTCCTTGCCTGTTCGCTTGCAATAAATGCCCTTCCTCCTCCTTGCCGGCTACCTGGGACTTTACTGATGAGAAGCCGCACTGGGCAGGACCTGCTTCGGGTAACACCCCTGGCCCTGGGTCCTGGGCCTGTGACCTGAGCTAACCTGTTGGCCCCCGTGTCAGTCCTAATGCCTTTACCTGGTAGAGTGAGCACAGGGGCAAATGTAGGGGTGTGAGTGGCAGACAGGCTGAGAGGTGGGAGGCAACATGGCTGCACTGCATCGCTGCTCTGCGGGACATCGCACACCAGCACCAGGGGGCTGCATGGAGCCAGGCGGGAGGAACCAGAAGAGCCTTGAGGAGACAGGGCCTGGAGGGGCCTTGGGCCACATCCTGGCAACAGGCAGAAGGCTTGGCTCACGGAGCTCTGTGCCCACGAGGCCTAGGACTATGGGGTCCCCGGGCTGGGCAACACCGGGTCCCCGTGAGCAGCGGCACTGAGGGCCTCCAGCCACCGCTGTTGCAGCTCAGGAGTCTGGGTGTCCAGGTACAGGCACAGGTGTGCGTGGTGCAGCTTCAGCAGGTGCCGGAGGTCAGGCTTCTCTGCGGGGTCTGGGGCGTTCACCTTGCAGCCGGGCAGGGGAATGGTGCGGGGCAGCTGTCCATCCTGCAGCAGGGAAGGGTGGGTGAGCAGCCCCGCCTCCAGGTAGCCCGCTCCAGGGCATTTCCCCCTCCACCAGCAGAAGGGCGGGCGCTGAGCTGGACTGGTGAGATGCCCACCCTGCCTTGGACCCGCCGCACCCCTCCCCCTCGGCCAGCTGTCCCAGAGTGAGGGGACCGGGGACAGGCTGGCCACAGCCCAGGGCGGGCGGCTGGGGATGCCCTGCCCCTCACTTTAAAGGCATCTAACAGATGGGGTCATAGGGACCATCAGACTCTTGCCCACCCTCGGACTGCCCCCAGCCCCACGGGACACCAGGCAGGGACTACCTGAGACACAAGGAGGCAGCATGTGGGACTCATAGGAGGCTGCATGGGTCCCTCCACTGGACAAGGAGCTTGCCAGAGAGCCCGAGTTCAACTGCCCCTTCTTTCCTAGCCACAGAAGCCTGCCAGGGTCTGTGCTGGGAGAGGAGGCTGGCTGGAAATGCCCCCCTCTTCCTTCCTCTCTCCCTTGGAGGAGTTAGCCCAAGCCTCTGCCCGCATTCGGGGCGGCATGGGTTCTTCCACCCCGCCCTGCCCCTCCTCTCCCACCAACAGGGATGAATGAGTGAGTGAGTGAGTGAAGGGATGAATGAATGCAGGGGGAAGGACAGCCCCCTCACCCGGCTCTTTCTCAGGGGTCCAGTGGCCCTAGTGCTGCTTGGCACTAGAGCCCCACCTGCCCAGGAGAGCGCTGGGCCTTTCCATGCTCCTGACTTTCTGATGGGGGACTGGGGTGGGTGTGGGGCACAGCAGGGAGTGTGGTCTTGGCTGGGGGTCCCAGGGCCAAGCCAGCCTTCAGTGATCATTTGTTTCTGGGGTGCCTGTTTTGGTTGTCTCTGCCTATCTCTATAGAGTACAGCTGACTCACTTCTTAGAGGAGTGAAATTTAACATTTCCCTTTAAAACCTACACAAAGAAAACCACAAAACATTACTGCAAGAAACCGAAAGAGACCTAAACAAGTGGAAAAACATATGATGCTCCTGGGTAGGAAGACTCATCATTGTGAAAACGTCAGTTCTACCTAAAGCCATCTACCAATATAATGCAATCTTTATCCAAACATCAAAAGCATTCTTTAACGAGATGGAAAAACTAACTACTAACTTTATATGGAAAGGAAAGATGCCCCAGATAAGTAAAGCATTACTGAAGAAGAAGAACAAAGGAGGAGGTCTCATACTACCTGATCTCAGAACCTATTATACAGCCATGGTAGTCAGAACAGCCTGGTACCGGTACAACAACAGACTCATAGACCAATGGAACAGAATCGAGAACTCAGATGTAAATCCATCCACCTATGGTCAGCTGATCTTTGACAAAGGCTCAAAGTCCATTAAATGGAGGAAAAGATAGTCTCTTTAACAAATGGTACTGGCAAAACTGGATGTCCATCTTTAAAAAAATGAAACAGGACCCATACCTCACATCATACACAAAAACTAATTTAAAATAGATCAAAAACCTAAAACAAAAAGATCATGGAAGAAAAAATAGGGACAAAGCTAGGGGTCCTAATATATGGCATAAATAGGTTACAAACCATAACTAACAGTACACAAACACCAGAAGATAAACTAGATAACTGGGATCTCCTAAAAATTAAACACTTATGTTCATCAAAAGACTCCACCAAAAGAATAAAAAGAGAAGCTACAGACTGGGAAAAAATTTTGGGCTATGACATATTCAACAAAGGTCTAATCTCTAAAATCTATAACATACTTCAACATCTCAACAACAAAAAGACAAATAGTCCAATTTAAAAAATGGGCAAAAGAATGAACAGACACTTCATCAAAGAAGACATTCAGGCAGCTAACAAACACATGAGGAAATGCTTGGTATAATTAGCCATTAGAGAAATGCAAATCAAAACTACAATGAGATACCATCTCGGCCCAACACTACTGGCACTAATAAAAAAAAAAAACAGAAAATAACAAATGTTGGAGAGATTGTAGGGAGATTGGAACTCTTATGCACTGCTGGTGGGAGTGTAAAATGGTACAACCACTATGGAAAATGATATAAACCAAAACCAAACCCGTTGCCGTTGAGTAGATTCCGACTTGTAGGACAGAGCAGAACTGCCTCATAGGGTTTCCAGGGAGTGCCTGGTGGATTTGAACTGCTGAAATTTTGGTTAGCAGCCGTAGCTCTTAGCCACTATGCCACCAACAATATGGTACTTCCTTAAAAAGCTAGAAATAGAAATACAATATGATCCAGCAATCTCACTCCTAGGAACATATCCTAGAGAAATAAGAGCCTAACGTGAATAGACATACACATGCCCATGTTCATTGCAGCACTGTACACAATAGCAAAAAGATGGAAACAATCTAGGTGCCCATCAACAGGTGAATGGATAAACAAATTATGGTACATACACACAATGGAGTACTACGCAAAGATAAAGAACAATGCTGAATCCGTGAAACATCTCACAACATGGATGAATCTGGAAGTCATTAAGCTGAATGAAATAAGTCAATCACAAAAGGACAAATGTATAAGATCACTATTATAAAAACTCCAGAAAAGGTTTTCACACAGAAAGAAACAATCTTTGATGGTTATGAGGGAGGGGAGGGGTGGGGAGAGGAAATCACGAATTATAGTAGACAAGTGTTAACTTTGGTGAAGGGAAAGACAACACACCATACAGGGAATTCAGCACAACTTGACCAAAGGAAAGTCATAGAAGATTACTAGACACATCAAAACACCTTTAGGGACTGAGTTACTGGGGCTGAGGGCTGCAGACCATGGTCTCAGGGCACATCTAGGTCAATTGGCATAACATAATTCGTAAAAGAAAATGTCCTACATCCGACTTTGGTGAGCAGAGTTTGGGGCCTTAAAAGCTTGTGAGTGGCCATCTAAGATACATCTACTGGTCCCATTGCATCCAGAGAAAAAGAGAATGAAGAAAACCAAAGATACAAGGGAAATATTAGTCCAAAGGACTAACGGACCACAAGTACCACAGCCTCCGTCCGCCTGAACCCAGAAGAACTAGATAGTGCCCAGCTACCACCAGCAGCAGCTCTGACAGGGATCACAGTAGACGGTCCCTGACAGAGTGGAAGTAAAATGCAGAATTAAATTCACAAAAAAAGACCAGACTTACTGCTCTGACAGAGACTGGAGGAACCCCTGAGACTACGGCCCCTGGACACCCTGCTAACTCAGAACTGAAGCCACTCCGGAAGTCCACCTTTCAACCAAAGATTAGACAGGCCTATAAAGCAAACAATGACACATGTAAGGAACGAGATTCTTAGTTCAGTCAAGTATATGAGACCAAATGGGCAATACCTGCCCAAAAGCAAAGACGAGAAGGCAGGAAGGGACAGAAAAACTGGACAAATGGAAACAGGGAACCCAGAGCGGAGAAGGGGAGAGTGTTGATACATCGTGAGGATTGCAACCAATGTTACAAAACAATTTGTGTATAAATTGTTGAATGAGAAACTAATTTGCTCTGTAAACTTTCACCAAAAGCACACACACACAAAAAATTCCATTTAGAGTGAATCTTGTAAAGGAAAAAGTGGGCCAGTATCAGGGAAATAGAGGGTAAGTACCTGGCAAGCTCAGGCCCCAGGCCTTCAGGCAGGTGGCCAGGAGGCCCTGAAGTCACAAGCCACTGTGTCCCTGAATGAGCTCACCAAGGGGGAGAATGCTGGACATCTGGCCAAACCCAGCAGTCTTGAGGTTCTGGGGGCAATCAGAAGAGTGCCTCCACCAAGAAGCCCTCCCTGACTCAGACTCTGACTCAAAACTCATTGCATAGGCACAGCACCTGGCCACCCTCCTGGTACCAGCAGCATCTGTCCCCAGGTTGCTAAGTCCAAGGCTTGTAGGGCTAGTGTAGAACCACTCCCAGGATTTCAGCCAACAGTCCCGTTTCTAGGACACGCTCTGCAGGACTGGAGTGGGGGAGAGATGGGATGGCCAAGGAGGGATGGGAACGCTTGGGGATAGGCCTGGCTGGGAAGGCAGCTCTGTGGCCCAGCTGGGTGACCCTGGCCAGGTCATGTCCCTCCTAACAGAACCTGCAGGCACCGCCAGGCCTCGCCGTGCAGCAAGGTCTACAGCTGAGGAGGCCGAGGCCCTAGGTTAGGTTTAGCCAGTTGGCACCACAGGCCTGTCCCAGCAGCTGGCTCGGCGTTGCATCCAGCCCCACTGGCTTTCCTCAGGACGTTCTACCCCTCCCCACTCAGGCTCTGGGGCTGCACTGAGCATAGCGGCTCCCATAACCCGCTCCCCCCACCCCACACAGCCCTCCAAGGAGGTGGAGATGTGCACCTGGCTGCTTCCCCACAGGTGCAGCGCCTGTGGGTCTGTCCTGGGGATGGAGGCCCACACCTCACTCCAGGCCTTGCCGTCTTCCGACAGCTGCAGGGTGCCGCAGAGCAGGCTGTGCTGGGGGTCCATGGCAGACGGCCTCTGGGGACACAGAGAGGGCAGGTTAGGATGCTTTTTCATCTGCATTCTTAGCTCATCCTCCATAAGGACACTGCTAGGAAGGTTACAGGCCTCGGAAACATGACCGAAGCCTGTGTGGGTCACACCTGGTGAGAGAGGTGCAGGAGAGACGCCCTAACCAGGCGAAACTGGCTCTGGGGTCGCCTTCACTCTGCAAGGCCTGGGCTGCTTGGTACAGAGTAGGGTTTCCCACATTGCAGGCTGGACCCATGAAGAGGATGTGGAATCAATGGAGTGGGCCAGCGTTAAAAAGTAAAAAGAAACAAATGGAACAGAAAATACCAGAGTGTGTTTAAGAGGAAAAGGGACTTACGACATTGTTGTAAATCACTGTATACCACACACCAGGCACACACATATCATACCATACACACACACGCACATACACCGTATGTGCACACATGCAAGCACACCACACACACACCACACACGTATGGACATACCATACATGGACACACACGTGCAGACATGCAAGCACACCACACACATATGCACATACCATATATGCACACACACGTGCACACATGCATGCACACCACACATGAACACACATCACACACATGTGCACACACCGTACCACACATGTGCACACATGTGCACATCACACATGCACACACCACACCACACAAGTATGTACACACCCTGCACACACACACACCCCATGCATACATGCACACGAACACACACATGCACGCACACACACACATACACACACCTTTCCATTTCTTCTAACATATTGAAGATGAATTATGGAGACAAACTCCCAGGCCACCTGGAAGCTCCCTGCACCTCAGACATCACCTGCCAAGTGGTCCATCTGCACAATGAGGCAGGTCCACCCAGACTCAGAATGGGAAACTTAGGGGTGGGAGATGGGCATTTTAAAGAACCTCCCAGGAGACCGAAGCCTTGAGAACTGTGGGGCTGTCTTATGTGAGAAGAGAAGGGTGCTCTTGTATGAAAAACTACTTTCTCTCTTCTCCAGCTTTCCTGGACTCTGCCTGTGTGGAAGGAAGGCTGGGAAGTGGGGCCACCCTGAGAAGGAGGAGGGAGGAGGAGGAGGGGCCCCTGGACTGGGAGTGGGGAGCCCTTACGCCTACCGAGGATGAGCAGTAGGTCCCCTGGGGTGGGCAGCTCCAGGTCACATCTTCCAAGCCCGGTGACACTGGTCCCCTATCTAACTCCTGGGTAAAGATGGTCCACGGCCTGCAAGCTGTGCTGGGGACTGGAGAGCCGCCCCCCAATCCCGCCCCACCCATTCACAGTCCTACATTCAGTTGTGAGGTGCTCCCAGAGGCTCATCCAGTTCCCTAGGGCCTGTGAACCCCACTGAAACCCCCACGTCTGTACTGGGCCCAGGGGAGGCTGCAGAGGGAGATAGGGCACGTCCTCGGGGGCCCCTGTGGCCCACCCACCTCTGTGCCCTTCTTGGGCTCGACGGCCACTTCAGGGCTGGTAGGCTCCCCTGATAGGGTCAGGAAACACTCCTTGCAGACCCGGCTCTGCCTGCTGTTCTCAGTCTTGAACTCGGAGCACTTCCCACAGATGACCTGCAAGATAGAGGCCACCTGTGACCCCAGCTCCTGGCGACAGGAGGGTTGAAAGGGCGAAGGGCTATGACGGGGCGGGATGGGGAGGCGGGCCTGAGGTGGTGCCCACCAAGCTCCCTCCCTGTCTGCACAGTAGAGTCCCGGGGTCTGTGTGCATGGAGAAAAGAGGAGGAAGTCCACCAGGGTATGGAAGTGGACAGTTCTTTTCCCTGGTCCTCCTGTGGTTTCTAGGTAGGCCAAGCAGGTTTCCACTCATGGTGGGGGGTGGTGTGGAGCAGGGTCACGGGAAAACAAGCTTTGATAAAAAGAAAGGTGACTCAGCTCCCTAGACCTGAGGGGAGTGCAGAGCCCGCTCTTGGGCCGAATTTACCAAGGGCAGCCCCGACGTTGACATGGCCGGGACATAAACCCCATAAAGCACCCCCACAAGTATATGGTGTTAGCGTGGACAGGCGGAGGGAGTCCACATGGGCCACAGCCTTTACTCCTAAGGCCCCCTTAGCCTAGCGGGAGATGACAGGGATGTGTCATAGGGGACTGACACACCAGGGTTGGGGGCACTGGTGCTGTCGGAGACGCATGCTTTTGCTGAGACCAAATGAACCAAATGATCAGGTGGGGCAGGGAGAGGAGAGGCTGCTGGTGGTTGGGGTGGGTGGGGTCTGGGGTAGTAAAAAGGTCTGGTATAGTCCCTGAGGGAGCCCTCAGTTTAATTTCCATCCATCTGTCCATCTGTCCATCCATCCATCTTGCTTGGTACTGCTCTATGCAGGGTGCAACAGGAGCACTGCTCCAGGCCCAGGCCTACCTTGGAAAGCAGCCCCAATTTCTCCTCAAGGTAGCTCTGGGCTGGGTCTACGTGCTAATACAGTATTCAATTATTAATGACCTCATCTAAAAATATTTGAATCAATGACAGGCATCCTTGGGGACTGCCCATCCTCAGGAGAAGAGGCTTTGGGGGATGAACGACGAGGGGCAGTGGTGTCAGCAGAAGGGTGCTCCCACCCAGTACCCACTGCCCGGTACTTCCCAGTACCTCCTTCCAGCCTCACGGGCGTGAAGCTATGGGTGCCTCAATTTGACTCAAGCCCACCTGGCCAGCATCTGGCAGCACTGGCTCGGGATGCTGAGCTTGGTCTGTGGCCCCAAACCTAGCATGGTTTCCACTGCAATAAGCGTGCGGGGCTCAGAGCCGACCAGGGAAATATCTTGAGCCTGTACTTTAGAGGAAACTGTCTTACCTGCACTCAGAGCTGTGCCTTGCTCATCTGTGGGGCACAGGTCTCCGGGGCTTTCAGGGAGGTGCGTCTACGAGCTCTGGCCCCATGCCTTCCCCCCTCCCAGCTGCCTCCCTCCTGATCAGCCTTTGCAGGTAGCGCCTGGACTCACTGCGCTGCACTGCTTGCAGCGGTGCCTCCTCTTGGTGATGGAGTTGAAGGTCTCCCCGCAGCTCTTGCAGCTCTGCCTCTCCTTCTCACGCCTCGTTTTAGAGGAAGGCTTTCTGCAGTCGAGCTGGAAAGAGAACAGCTCTGGTCAGCCTGGAGTTGGTGTGCCCTGTGCCCAGCAGTGCTGCCCGGTGGCACGGAGCAGTAGACGCAGACCTTCCTCCTGCCAAGAGCCCAAGCTGTTGGTGGGGAGACTGGGGACCAGAGGACTTTCACTTCCCATCTTATCTCCTTAAATGCTGTCTAAGCTTCTGCCACAAGTATGCATGCTTATTTTTTTAACAAGAGAAAAGAAACAATATGAAGTCATTAACTACAATATGGATTTATGTTTACAGATGTTAAAAGAGCTCTAAGACAAGTCATAATATTACCTATAATATGCCTTTAAGTTAAAAAAAAAAAAAAAGCTGCTCCTGCCCAGGTCTGCAGGGCCCATACCCAACGCTGGTGGGAAGAGGGGCCTGGGGAAGGGCGGGCAGCAGAGGGCTTTCATCTCACTTTATTGTTTACACTTTTAAAAACAGGTATTCATTCCATTCATAATTAAAAATGTTTTAAAAAATTTTAAAGCTGATACTGTCCAACAATAAAGAACTGGAAATATAAAGCAGGGTCCTGCACAAAAGGTAGCCATTAAAATGGCATTTTAGAGAACTATGTAAAAGTGTTGAGTTATATTGTTAAGAGAAAAAAGCAAGTTACAAAATGGCATACAGTAGCATATAATTTTTATGCCAAAAAATGTATTTATAAGTGTGATGGTTAAGGCTGTGTGTCAGCTTGTCTGGGCCATGATTCTCAGTGATTTGGCAGTTATGATGCAGTTTGGCAGCTATGTAATGTTGTAATCATCTCCATGATGACATCTGCTATGAGCAGCCTATCAGTTGAAAGGTAGTTCATTTGGGGGTGTGGCCTGCATCCAATGTAGGTGGACTGTCTGGCAAAGCTCACTGGCTTTTGCTTGCTCTGGATCCTCATCTGACCTCTAGCTCTTGGGACTTGAGCTAGCAATTTGTTCGTCTCTGCAGCCTGTGAGCCAGAGGCCTGCTCTCTGACCTGCCGATCTTGTGTTCGCCAGCCCCTGCAGCTACATGAGTCAGGAGAAGCCTCCAGCCTGACCCACAGTCTTGGGACTTTCCAGCCTCTACAACCGTGTGAGCCATTTCCTTGATATAAATCTCTCTCCCTATTTCTCTGTCTCTTGACCCAAGCCATGTTGTTTCAATCGCCTTATACCCGTGAGAAAGGTGAACAATGAATAAGGAAGACTAAAGAACAATTGACGCCTTTGAATTATGGTGTTGGTGAAGAATATTGAATATACCATGGACTGCCAAAAGGACAAACAGATCTATCTTGGAAGAAGTACAGCCAGAATGCTCCTTAGAAGCGAGAATAGTGAGACTTCATCTCACATACTTTGGACATGTTATCAGGAGGGATCAGTCCCTGGAGAAGGACATCATGCTTGGTAAAGTAGAAGGTCAGTGAAAAAGAGGAAGACCCTAAATGAGATGGACTAACTCAGTGGCTGCAACAATGGGCTCAAGCATAACAACCATCATGAGGATGATGCAAGACCGGGCAGTGCTCTGTTCTGTTGTACATAGGGCTGCTATGAGTTGGAACCAACTTGACAGCACCTAACAACAACAACAACAAATACACACACACACACACACATATATATACATAGATATCTGCTTCACTGGTTTTGCTTCGCTAGAGAACCCAGCCTAAGACAACAAGCATTGAAAAAGACTGGAAGGAAATACACCAAAATGTCCCTGTTGGTTGCTTTTGGGGTAGAAGGATACTGAGTGACTTTTCTTATCTGAGTGTTTTGTCTGTATTTTCTAAATTTTTACCAAGAGCATTTTGTAAAAGAGGAAGAAAACCAATAAACATCTGCAAACTTGTCGCTAGCCACAACCCTTACACAGAGCCCTGCCCTCCCCACATCCACAGGCCCTGGGCTGCCCATTGCCTCGTCCTCTCATCTCATCTAGGACCTCTGCATACAAGTGCTGGGCAGTGAGGCCGCTGGCCTGCTCCAGGGACATCCATCCCCTGGCCACAGTGACACTGTTGGTTTTCAGCACCCTAGCCCAATCTGATGCAAGGGCTGGTGAGGGGAGCAGAACATAGACCCATGGTGGGAGGCAGGCTGGGGCTGGGGGTGAGGGGACAGGCATGAACTCTGGGATCTGAGGCTGGAGACTCAGTCAGGGCCTCCTGTCTGGCCTAGGTTTCCCTGTCTGATTGTGAGGCAGTGGCTAGGTATGGGATAGACCAAAGGCTCACTGCTCAGCCCCTCATCAGTTGTACGACCCTGGATGGGTCACTTCTCTCTGAGCCTCAGTTTTTAATTCTGTAAAATGGGAATAAATAACCCCTCCCCAGATCCTAAGCTCACACTGCTGTACATAAAATCCTGTCTGGTTTTGGCAGGTTGCTCATACCCTCTCATTTCACAATGGCCTGCCAAGCCTCCAGAAGTGCCCCGTCAGGAAATGAAATCGCTTCCTGTACTTTTGAAAGCCCCCCTCCCCCAAGCATTTCCTCTCTTGGGATGAGGTTTCTGCTGGCAGCAAAGAGTGCAGCCATCTCGTTACAAATTTAGGATGATTTTAGGAGTGCCAAGGATGTTTATTGAATTTCCCAGGATGCCAGAGCCGGAAGTATTTGTCTCTACACGTCTGTGCACAGATGGCGAAACCGAGGCCAGAGACATTGTTCTCCTGTTTAACAGGAAAACATCTTAAATAAGTTTCACATTAGTTTGAGTGAAATAAAACAAAGTCTGAGATTTGTTTCAAAATATTACAGCAAAAAAAAAAAAAGTGTGGTGGGGAGAGGACAGAAGAAACAAGGACATTGTCAAGTTGAAGTTTCTTGAGCTGGTAGGGATTGCATGAGGACTTGTTGTACCTAATATCTCTACTTTTGTATACAATGTTTTAAAACTTCCATAACAAAAATTTTTTTAGAAAAATAAGCCGAAAATATTTTTGACATAAACTCTGCAGCTTTTAAGGAGAAATCGGTAGAGCTGGGCTCGGGCTCGGCACGAAGCCTGGCCCTGCCTTCCTAGCTGGGCAAACGCTGCAGGTCTCCTCCCCACCCTGTCCTCGTCTGGCAATGGGGACAAGGAGGCCCCTCCATAGGGCGCTGGGCACTGGGGGGCCCGAGGAGGGGCTGGCTTCCCGACCAGGACAGGCTTTGAAGCCTCATCATCCCACCGGGCCCTTTATCTAATGAAACCCTTGCTCCTTGAACAGGAGATGTCACACGAGCTTTGGCTCCCTTTCGCAGTTTATTTTAAGTAGTTCAGGATCACAGAGGAGGACTGCAGGTTCAACATCTGCCAGGCAGAGAAAGATTATCACAGACCCACAGAATCACGACTCCCTGAGTGCCACACCCTACCAAGCCCGGTGCCGGCCACTCCTCACACCCTTGCCAAGCGGCCAAGCTCTCTGCCCACTCGGGAGTCCTCTCTGGTGGTGACATCTCTCAGGACTGCCAAGGGGGAGGAGGGGGCCAGGGGAAGGATGAGGAAAGGATGGGGGGCAACATTGTGGGGTCTCCTGGGGCCCAGCCACCCTTCACCCTCTATTGCCCTGAAAGCATCACTGCCTTTGGGTATAGCTGCCACTCCCATTTTCAGTTGAGGAGCTTGGGACCCAAGAGGTGAAGGCCATAGTGGTGGGGTGACCTGACCCCACTGTCTTGATGACCTGCCCCTTGGCCCAAAGGCACCCTTGTGACTCACTGGACACCCTGGTTCTCAGGGACCAGCTATGGCACCCAGCAGGCTGTGCTGCATGGCCTGCTAAAATCAGGGAGGGCCACGGGGTAGGCAGTGGGCAAGAGGAGCCATGCAGGATGGGGACAGGCCAAGAGGGACACACCAGCTTGCAGGCAGTGCACCCAGAGATGTGGGTCCCCGCGGTGTTGAGGATGGCGTGGCCAGCTCTGCTGTAACCATGACTGGTCCCTGATACGAGGGCCCAGCTGAATTTACAGGCTTTATAGAACAGGCAGAGTCCCTGGGTGGTGCAAATTGTTAACACACTCAGCTGCTAACCAAAAGGTTGGAGGTTGGAGTCCACACAGAGGTACCTTGGAAGAAAGACCTAGTGATCTACTTCCAAAATATCAGCCACTGAAAACTCTGTGAGCACAGTCCTACTCTGACAGGCGTGGGGCTGCCAGGAGTCAGAATCGCCTTGACGCAGTGGTGAGTATAAAAGCCTCAGTCAGTCTGAGTTCTAGTGAATTATTGAAACTGAGGTTGGTTTGGGAACCCTCAACCTGGCAGTTGGTGTCAGAAGTGAGGGTGGTCTTGGGGACTGTGCCCTCAAAGTCTGTAGCTGGCCCTCTAAACCCTTTACACTGCCAAAATCCCAACTCAAGATCAATTTCTCCTCATGGAGGGAAAACATGGCCCAGACCCAGGCACACCAACCCCGGGCTTGGGTGGCAGAGATCCTTGGAGGCCCGGAAACAGTTGGTTTTGTTGTTAGGTTTGGTGTCTGCCGGGGGGCTGGCCCCCGGTGCTGCTGGGGAAACAAAAAAGGAGATCTAAATTTGAACTATACCCCAGCACTCAACTGCTGCATGCCAGGGACACTGTGCGGAGCCCATGGAAGGCTGGATCCTGGGGGAGAAGGCAAAAAGAGAGTGGAACAGCTTGTGCTGTCTGCCCACGGCAGGGCCCTGCGCATCACCTGGCCCAGGTACAGCCCTGACCTCAGGGACACCCGGTCATCTTTCTGCCCATCAAAGGCACTGGGTGTCTCTTTGGTCCTCACAGCAACGCATATCACCACTGCCTGGGGGGAAATGTGAGGCTCAGAGAGGATGTAGCCTGCCCAACGCATCACAGTTGGTGAGAAATGGAGCCAGGACTAGCTCCTAAACCTGGGTCTGTCTGCAGGATTAAACATGTTAAAAATATCTTTCAGGACCCTTTCAGCTAGAACATTCTCTGATTCAGGCTCCAAAACCCCTATCAGCCTCTGCCATGGGATCCCATTCTACACCAGAGGCTGTGGGACATGGGACCTGTGTGAAGCCTCCTCTCTCCAGCCCATGCTCTGCACCTGCTGTTCCTGCACAGAACGTCCCCTCCCTCTGCTCCACATCCCAGCTCTCACCGTCCTAGCTCACCGGCTCCAGGGAAACTTCCCCGACCCAGGTGGCCCTCACAGCTTCCTACTGCTCTGAAGGACCCCGTCTCCAATGTCCCTTTGGGCTCAGGCCTCTGACACATGCGCTCTACAAGGGCAGGGCTGGCTGCTCACTGGCCGGCTGCCTCTCAGTGCTCACCACATGGCTGGGAGGCATCCAGGCCTCTTTCAAGCTGACAGGCTCCGGCGCCGTTCCTGCCTCCAGATGGCTGGTGGGCCCGGGGACTAGAGCAGAGGCTCCAGGGGTCACTGCACAGAGACGCCAGCTCAGACTGAGTGGTCGCCAGTGGGAGGGAGCGCTGTACCCATATGGAGATGCCAGAGGTCCCTGCTCGGCAATGACTCGACTTGCTAAGGCGGGCACCTTAGGTGTACTATTGCGGGTTTCCGCCTGACTGGGGAGTCCGTGTCCATCTGTGAGCCAAGCATGACTGCTCCCATGGCAGGCCAGGTTCTGGGGGTGTGGCTCAGGTCGGTGAAGGCTGCAAGAGCTCTGCCTCGTGCTCTCCAGAGTCTCAGAACACAGAACACTACAGCTCTGTGTTGTCTGGAGGACCATCAGCCAGGACAGAAAATGCAAACATGGCTAGGGGCTGACTCTTGTGGCTAGCATTTGTCAGTGACCCTGGGGCAGGTCCTGGGGCAAAGCAGAGGTAGGGGAGGTGGGGCGGAGGGGCAGGGCGAGGCTGGGCAATGCTACAGGTCCCACCTGTGCCTTTCCCTGGGCACTTCTCTGCTTACTCACTTGGTTTTTATTTTAAAATCTCCCTATACTCCACTTAGCCACGTGAAATGCTTCCTAGGTCCCTGAAAGCCTCACGGGTCTCCTCAAGGTCAGCCTGTGTCCGGCCCCTGTTTGGACAGAGCCCCGCTGAGGGGAGCGGGGGAGCGACACAGGCAGGCGCCCCCTGGGACCAGCACCACCTCAGCAGGGGCTCACCCTGTGTCCACTCATGTACCCAGGGCATGGAATCAGTGTTTTCTTATAAAAATGCAAGTCACAAAAGCAATGCTTGCTGGCACGAAGATCTGAGGTTTACCAGGCCAAGGAAGTAGGTCACTGGGTGAAGGCAGGTCCTATCCACCCTTCTTCAGGGAGCTTGGAGACCGGAAGTCTGAGGCTCCAGCCCAGCCCCCAGCCCTATCCTCAGGTGCAGGGACCTTGGCCAAGTTACCTCTCTATCTGAGCCTGATTCCTCACCCATCCGAAGTGAGGTGACCACGATAAACCCCTCAGTGGCTGCAGTAACCTAAAGGGACAATAAATGGATAAGAGCTCCAGGAACTGGTTGCTAAGTTCACCAGGTCCTGGGGTGGGGGGAAGGCAGAGGGAGAATGGGAGGGAGGGAAAGGGAAGAAAGGAGGGAGAGCGGAGGGAGAGAGAGGGAGGGAGAAGGGGATAGAGGAAGAGAGGGAGGGAGAGTGGGAGATGGAGGGAGGGCCGGCAGGAGCATGAAGGATGAGTGAGGTGGCTTGTAGGAGACAATGTGGGGACTGTGCCCCAGAGGCGGCAGCCCAGAGACCCTGGGGAGAAGCTCCTGCCTCCAAAGGGGACCCTCTGTATATGGGGCAGTTCTATCTCATTTCTCTTGAGCCTGGAGGGGAGCGGGACACACCGTGGGGGCCGAGAGAAGCACCTTCCGGAATGCAGGCCTGGGGCTCCTTACTGTCATTGGTGGCACCAGCTATGAGGCCTGATGGTTCAGGACCACAGACCCCGTACTGCGCATTCACTGTGTGCTGGCAGCAGACACGCAGGGCCCTGTCTAGTCTCCCAAGTGCCCCATTGCACAGATGAGGCAGTCAGGGCAGAGGAGGGGCCGTGGCCACGGTCACACAGAAGTCCTGGCAGGGCAGGGTGGGCACTTAAGCACAGAGCTGCCGCTAGAAGTCTAGATGGAGCGGGCGCCAGACAAGCCAGCAAGAAGCTAGGGTGCTCACAGGCACTGTCGCCTCCCTGCGGCATGGCCTGTCCCCTCCTCTTTCCCCGGCCAGGTCTGGTGGAGCCCCTCTGCCCACCACCAGCTCTTCATAGCCTAAGTCTCTCCTGGGACTGCTGTGCCCTGTCAAGGGTTGGCACCACGTCCACTACCATCCAGGGGTGGATTAACTGGTAAGCATGTATGCACCAGCTTACAGTAAGCAAGGTACGCACGGGCTTAATTGTGCTTACTTACTAATCTGGAGGGCTTCACCATATCTTTGTGGTGAAACCCAATGTGAAATTGTGCCTTCCAGATCAGTAAGTAAGCACAATAAGCCTGTGCATACCTTGCTGATTGGGTAATCCATCCCTGTTACCATCTCACCAAGGCAGAGTTCACACACAATAGAGTGCCCAAACACTCCGTGTACAGTCAGTCCAGAGAATGCACCCACGCTCACAGCTCTGACCACCACTCAGCCAGCTCCATCAGCGCCCACCCTCTCTCTCTCTTGCTCTCTCTTCCTCCCTCTCTCACTCTCCCTCCCTCCCTCCCTCTCTCCCCTCCTCCCTCCCTCCTTTCTTCCCTTTCCCTCGCTCCCATTCTCCCTCTGCCCTCCCCACCACCCCGGACCTGGTGAACTTAACAACCAGCTCCTGGAGCTCTTATCCATTTATTGCCCTCCTAGGTTATTGCAGCCACTCAGGGGTTTATTGTGGTCACTGCCTGGGTGCCCAGCTTGGTCTCTGGGTCTGCCAGCCCTCACAATTATGTAATGACAACATGACTAAATGAGCATCATAAATGCCCCCCCACCCCCAATAGGGACACACCTGGCCAGGAGCTCAACGCTGATTCCAACCCACACCCTCCAGGCCATGACCCTTCCAGACAATAGCTTCAGCCCACCTCTGCCAAAAGCTGCTGTGGTCACTTACCCTTCCAGCACCTCTGCCGCCATCGGCCTCCATAACGGGCTCCACGGAGCTGGCACCCACCACCTAGGAAGGGACACAGACAGTGACATGAGGCCCCCAGGCCACACAGCTACATCGTAAGCAGTGAAGTGACATCTGCAAAACCCTCAGTGTTTTGTCCACGGTGGCAGGGTCAGCGAATAAGCAGGTTTACATTATTTGCTATGTGACTCTGGGAAGTCCCGTTGTGGGTTGGATTGTGTTCCCCAAAAAGATGTGTTTAAGTCCTAACCCCCCAGTACCTGTCTATGTGACCTTGTTTGGAAATAGGGTCTTTGAAAATGTTTTCAAGTTAAGACAGGGTCATACTAGAGTAGGGTGGGCCCTGAATCCAATGACTGCTGTCCTTATAAGGAGAGGAGAGGGAGGACCACAGACACACAGGGAAGATGGCTGCGAAGGATGCTGAGTCGGAGTGATGCCACCACAAGCCAAGGAATGCCTGGGGCCACCAGAAGCTGGAAGAGGCAAGGAAGAAGGATTCTCCTGGGAGCCTTTAGAGAGAGCATGGCACAGATGACACCCTGAATTGGAACTTGTGGCCCTCAGGAGTGTGACAGAATTACTTTCTGATGCTTTAAGCCACCCAGTCTGTGGCACTTTGTTTCAGGGCAGCCCCATGAGCCTGAGCTGAGCCCCCTGCTCTCTGGCCTCTCTGTCCCTGAGGCCACCCCAGCAGAAGGGGCATCTCCTCCTTAGGTCCATCACATAGTCTGGGGTGCTGAACAACCGTGCTCAGGGAGACATCGCCCTGTTTAATCTACCTCCGCCCTTCAGGTGGCCTGTGGGGTCTCTGAGCATGGGGAGGCTCTGAGCTTAGGCTCAGGTGCTGCAGAAGAGCAGACACCAGCACACCGTGTGTTTCTGAGTTCTCGTCTGTCACGTCATAGTCATTCTCTGCAGGAGGCAGTAGTTTTTTACTTTTTGTGGTAAATATATACTTAACAAAACATTTGCCATTTTAACATTTTTTACACGTATAATTCAGTGACATTATGTTCATCATGTTGTTCAACCATCACCACTGTCCGCTTCCAACCCTTTCCATCACCCTTAACAGAAGCTCGGTGTCCCCTAAGCAACGTGTCCTTTCCCCCTCCCTCCTGCCAGTCCCTGGTAACCAATAATGAATTCTGGTCTCTCTACATGTGCCTACTCTAGATATTTCATATCAGAGGATCACACGATATTTGTCTTTTTCTGACTGGCTTATTCTATTCAGCTTGATGTTTTTTCAAGGTTCATCCATGTTGTAGCATGTATCAGGATTTCATTTCTCTTTATGGCTGAATAATATTCCACTGTATGGATATACCACATTTTGTTTATCCATTCACCTGTTGATGAACATTTAGGCTATTTCCACCTTTTAGATATTGTCAGTACTGATGAGATGAACATCAATGTACAGGAGGCCTGGATGTCTTCCTGCTTTCATTTCTTTACGGTATATGCTAGAAGTGAAATTGCTGGATCATATGGTAATTCTGTTGTTTAACTTTTTGAGGAACTGCCAAATTTTTCCACAGTGGCTGTACCATTTTACAATTTCACAAGAAATGCATGAGGGTTTCAATTTTTCCACATCCTCACCAACACCTGTTGTCCTTTTTTAAGATCATAGTTATTCTAGTGGGTGTGAAATGATAGCTCATTCTGGTTTTGATTTGCATTTCCCTAATGACTAACGATGTTGAACAACTTTGCATCTGCTTATCGGCCATTTGTATTTCTTCTTTGAAAAAAATGTCTATTCAAGTCCTTTGCCCATTTTTTGTTTGGGTTATTTGTATTTCTGTTGTTAAGTTGCAGTAGTTCTTTATATACTCTGGATAGTAAACCCTTGTCAGATATATGGTTCCCAAAATTTTTCTCCCAATTTGTAGGTTGTCTCTTCACTTTGTTGATAAAGTCTTTTAATGAACAAAAGTTTTTAAATTTGTTGAGGTACCATTTATCTATTTTGTCTTTGGTTGCTTGTGCTTTTGGTGTCCATATCTAATAATTCACTGTTTAAAACTAGGTCACAAAGCATTACTGCTATATTTTGTTCTAGAGTTTATAGTTTCAGTTCTTATATTTAGGTCCTTGATCCATTCTGAGTCAGTTTCATATATAGTATGAGGTATGAGTCCAGGTTCATTCTTTCATTTGTGGAAATCAGGTTGTCCCAGCACCATTTATTAAACAGACTATTCTTTCCTCATTGGACGGACTTAACATCCTTGTTGAAAATCAATTGACCATAGAAGTACTGGTTTCTGGACTCTCAATTCTATTCCAGATTTCTGAACTCTCAATTCTATTCCATCGGTGTATATGTTTATCATTATACAATACTAGACTATTTTGAGCACTACAGCTTTATAATATGTTTTGAGGTTAGGAAATGTGAGTCCTCCTACTTTGTTCTTTTTCAAGATTGCTTTGACTATTTGGGGCCCCTTGCTGTTCCATAAAACTTGAGGATTGGCTTTTCCATTTCTGCAAAGAAGGCTGTTGGAATTTTAATGGAGATTGTGTTGAATCTATAGATTGCTTTAGGTAGAATTGACATCTTAACAATATTAAGTCTTCCAATCCATGAGCACAGAATGTCTTTCCATTTATTTAGGTCTTTTCAATTTCTTTCAGTCATGTTTTATAGTTTTCAGTGTACAAGTCTTTCACTTCTTTGGTTAAATCTATTCTTTGATATTTTATTCTTTTAGATGCTATTGTAAATGGAATTGTTTCCTTAATTTTCTTCTCAGGTTGCTCATTGCTGGTGTATAAAAACCAGACTGGTTTTTGTGTGTTAACCTTGTATCCTGCCACTTTGATAAATAAATTTTTTAGCTCTAGTAGCTTTCTCGTGGATTCTGTGGGGTCTTCTACATATATAGAATCATGTTGTCTAAGAAAAGGGATAGTTTTATGTCTTCCTTCTTTTTTTTTTAAATAATATTTTATTGTGTTTTCAGTGAAGGTTTACGCAGCAGTTTAGGTTCCCACTCAACAATTTTTACACAAATTGTTCAGTGACATGGGTTAAATTCTTCACAATGCGTGAGCATTCTCATTATTTCCATTGTTGTGTTTTGCTTCCATTAATCTAGTTTCCCTGCCCCCTTACGTTCTCATCTGTGTTTTAAAGTAATTGTTGACCATTTAGTCTCATATTGGTGATTTTTTAAAGGAGCACAGTACTTATGGGTGATGTTCATTATTTTGCAAGCCAATCTGCTATTTAGCTACAAGGCAATCTAAGGAGTTAGTTTTAGTTCATGGTTTGAAGAGTATCTCAGAATAATAGTTTTGGGGGGGGGCCTCCAGTCTTAGCCAGTCCTGTAGGTCTGTTTTTTTTGTTGTTGTTTGTTCGTTTTAGGAATTTGAGGTTCTGCTCCACATTTTTCTTCATTTCTCTCAGGGCTCATTTACTGTGGCCCTGATTAGAATTGTTGGTAGTGGTAGCTGGGCACCATCTAGTTCTTCTTGTCTCAGGGTGGATGAAGCCATCTTAGATGGCTGTGCACAAGCTTTTAAGACGCCAGACACTACTCGTGAAACTAGGATGCAGAACATAAACTTTATGAACTATATTATGCCAACTGACTGAGATGTTCCATGAGACAATGGTCCTAATCTTTCAAACCTGGAAAACCAATCCTGTGAGATGTTTGGTTAAGTCTAAGAAGTATCTGTAACTGTTCCCTCATGTCTTTTATTATATATATATATATATATATATATATATACACACACATACATATACATATGCATATGCCTACACCTATATGTACACACTCATATACTCACATATACCTATAAACATATATGCCTATATACATACATGTATACCTGCACGCATATTTTTGGTTGTTTTTGTTGTTGCTTCAAAATTATATTTGCCATAGCAATTACCAATAGGTCTTTTTTCTTGTGTACGGTTTAATGACATCACTTACCTTCATCAAGCTGTGTTCACTTCACCCTCATTCAGTGTTACCTTTTCCATCACCAGAAGTAATAAGTGTCTACTCTCTAGAAAGTGAATCCTCCTTCCCCACATCCCTGGTAACCACTAATGAATGTTAGCTTCTATATATTTACCTGTTCATGTCGTTCCACAAACATTACATGCAATATTTGTTTTTTTCGTAATTAACTTATTTTGCTCAACATAATGTCCTCTAGGTTCATCCATGTTCCAAGATGTTTCAGGAAATCATTTTTCTTTATCACTGGGTAGTATTTCATCGTATGTATGCACCACATTTTACTTATTCTTTCCGTTGATGGGCACTGGGTCTTAGTCATCTAGTGCTGCTGTAACAGAAATACCACTAGTGGATGGCTTTAACAAAGAGAAATTTATTTTCTCACAGTCTAGTAGGCAACAAGCCCAAATTTAGGGCATTAGCTCCAGGAGAAGGCTTTCTCTCTCTGCGGGCTCTGGAGGAAGGTCCTTGTGATGCACCAGTCTTCCCTTGGTCTGGGAGCAGCTCAGTGCAGGAACCTCCAGTCCAAAGGACACGCTCTGCTCCTGGCACTGCTTCCTTGGTGGTATGAGGTTCCCATGTCTCTCTGCTCACTTCTCTTTTATATCTCAAAAGATACTGGCTTAAAACACTATCTAATCTTGTAGATCTCATCAATGTAACTGCCATTAATCCATCTTATTATATCATAGTGATAGAATTTACAACACATAGGGAAATCACATCAGATGATAAAACAGTAGACAATCATACAATACTGGGAATCATGACCTAGCCAAGTTGACAGATATTTTTGGGGAATACAGTTCAATCCATGACAGGCACTTAGGTTGTTTCCATCGTTTTGCTATTGTGTATAATGCTGTGATGAACATAGGTATGCATATGACTGTTCGTGTCACTTCTAGTAGATCCCTAGGGTATATACTTAAGAGTAAAATTGCTGGGTTTAATGGCAGCTCTACTTCTAGTTTTTTGAGGAACTACCAGACTGATTTCCACAATGGCTGCCCCATTTTGTACTCGCACAAGCAATAAAACTCC